TCCATTTGAGCAGCCTCGGCATCGGCCCGATACACAGCAATGGTCTTGTCCGCCATGACTTTCGACGACTCGATCTCCGCCTTTGCCTCAGCAAGCCTTGTTTCAAGCTCATCGAGCCTCTTAGATTGAGCCAAACCTTTTTGCTTGATGCTTCGAAGCTGAACATCGGCCGATAATAATTTGGCCAAGATGGTTTCTTTTTCTGCATCCAGGCGGTCGATAGTCTCCTTCCACCGGTCACATTCGACCTTGATTTGATCGACTTCTTCCCGAAGCAACCCGATCTTTTCAAACTTTTACTGCAGCTGAGATAACGAAGGGTTAGCTTCCACAGTTGGGTCAAACCCATACTCTAACAGAACGAGGCTCACATGCTTATCTAAATCGGCCTCTTCTTCACGAGCCTTAGCCAAATCTGCTTGGAGGTCCTTTATAACTTCGTCCTTTTGGCTGCAAAGAAGCCGCATAGCATCTCTCTCCCCCGAGACCTTCTGAAGCTCGACCTCACACTGGCTGAGGTCGACTCGAAACTTGCTAATGGCCTACACAGTATGGAAAAAACACAAGTCAGGTTTAGAAAAGAACGAAGAAACCAAGCGCAGTAAAATCATTACCCGAGAAATGAAACATTGGGCTTGTTCTAGGAGAAGAGAAGCGTCACTAATATCGGAGGCATCATCGACTCCAGTAAAGCAATCCTGAAAAGGGTCCCCTACACTAGAGCCTCCGCCTATATCGGGGGTCTTCAATTCTCGAGCTTTCTTTAACGCCTCCTCAGAAAAGGTCGGAAGAGAAGGCAAATGACCCACTATCATGGTCCCGAGCGAATCGCTCGGGATGCTATGATCGAGACTCGGGGTATCGGAACCAACCCCGACCCTTATAGCCGTCATCGGCTCAGAAGGTCTGGCGACCTCGATAGCTTTCGCAGATCGAATCACCAGAGCCGAAGCATCATCTTCTTCTTCTTCTTCTTCTTTCAGTCATTGGACCGAGTCCGTTGAAAGAGCGATTGCCTTCCTCCTCACCCTTCGAGTTTTGGGCTTGGGGTCCTCTGACCGAGAGATAGCTTTTCGCTTTTTATCTTTCCCCGGTTTCGGTACCGGGAACTTGGTTCCTTCCTCACCACTCGAAGGCCTGAAAACGGGATCCTTGGTTACACCTACATGAAAGAAAATCGGTAACGAATGGAGCATAAAAAACATTTCGAAAAATATGAGAAGTGACCATTACCGTGATTCTTGGCCTCACATCTACCTTTTGCCAAATCACGAGCGCGTTCGGCATAAGAGGAAGTCGAGGCTAACTTCCGAACCCAATCCTCGAGGTCGGGTACCGCTTGTGGAATCCAAGGGGCAACTGCATATCGGAGAAAGATATCAGATAGAATCAGAGAAAGATACGAAAAGTAACGCCTTATGAAAATCACTTACAGTCAAAAATTTATTCCTCGGGGAACGACATCTTCTCTTCCAGGATGAGGTCACGGGTCCTCACCCGAATATAACGGCCCATCCAACCCCGATCCTTGTCTTCGTCGATGCTCGACATTAAAGCTTTCGATGCCCGACGATGGAGCCTGATTAGTCCTCAAAAGATTTGAGGCCGATACAATCGTATGAGGTGATTTAGGGTGAAATCCAGCCCCCCGGCCTTGTTTAAGAAAAAGCAAAGTAAGATTACTATGCGCCATAGAGAAGGATGAATTTGACCGAGGGAGACCTGATATCTTTTGCAAAAATCAATGATTACTGGATCGACGGGACCCAACGTGAAGGGGTAAGTATAAACACTTAAAAACCCTTCCACATGAGTGGTGATGCTCTCTTCGAAAGAGGAAATTTGCAATACAACATCGGGACCCCAGCTGCAATCTTTCCTCACAGCCTCGAGATGGCCCTCTGTTATCGAGCACTTGTACATCGACACGTGCTCACATCGACCCGGAACCGACGAAGGATTTTCAACCTTAAAATCAATTTTTAGAGTACACGGGCCAGGAACATACTCGTGGGGAGGCGGCTCCACCGGCGCCTTGTCGCCGGACGGCCGTAAAGAGAAAGCTTTCTCCTTCTGAGGTACGGTTTTTGAAGTTTTTGCCATTGACATAATAAAAAGAAAAGCTAAAGAAGATGAAAGGCTGATGGTGCCAAACGCTGGTGAAGGTGGCTCTACGAGCGGCGAAATAGAGGCAGAAAGAGTAAGAAAATTTGGAAGATTAAAGATGTAAAAGTGGTAAATGATAAATTGAGGGGCTATTTATAGGTTTATACCATGGCGGCTCAGTATCAGCGGTGGTCGACCACCGCCTGACATGCATTAAATACCTTGAAAGACTAAATCGACGGGACAGCTATCACGTACGTCATCATCGAACCCAGTGAAAACGTCAGCTTATAACCCGATCGAGCCGTTGAAAATCATATCGCTTCTCACCACATTCTTCCTGAGAAATGAGGGGACTATCTGTATACGGTCGAAATAGATTTCGGCCCTCGTACGTTTGATCGGGTTCGAATGGTAAGCGACCGAAGTGAGACTTCGAGATGAGTTCCGAAGATAGTACAAACAAGTTTCGAGTTCCAAGACCGATCGAAGAGTCGGCTCGGTATCATTATCGAGCCCATGACCAAATCGAACCGCAAGGCAATGTGAAGGTAGTCGGAGACGCACAGATCGATTGGCACTCACCCCGAATGTCGAACTCGAACCAAGGCCGAGGGCTCGACCCAATAATGAGCTCGAGCCAGTATCGAGTTCGCAGACAAGAGCCGTTGCAACCGCACTAGGGGAGAAAATCTTGGCGGGAATCGGGGAAGAGATAATTCATCATGCGTTCTCCACTGTATATTTTTTATTGTAAATAAAGTAAGATCTCTCTACTATAAAAGGGGAATCCCTTTAAGCACAGGGCAGGTTCACACATTGTAAGAAAAGACTACTTCTATTTATTGAAGAATAAATCTCTTGAGCTTATTTCACTCAGCATACTTACTCTCCTCATTCAATAATTCATATCCTGTTTTTATAGCCAGGAATCTAAACATTTCCACTTCTAGTACGATTTATGTCAAGGTATATCACATATCTTTAAAACTACTAATAAATTCAACTATATCCGATTTTCCGGGTAAACATGGTGACATACTATTATTTTCGTGTGAGCTCAAGCTTGTTGATGGCATTTCATTTTCTGGTTATCACTTGTAACACATGGTGATTATCTTTCATCTCTATGATCTGATGGTGAAGTTGCATCTTTCACAAGAAAATTAATGTCTATTCGCTGCTGCTTGCGTGCCCCAGAGCATTGCACTCAGCTAAGAAATTAAGATAATTTACAACGTTGTGTGATGTTAACCAAAGAAGAAACTAGAAAATGATGCTTTGAGGGCATGTCAGAGACAGAAACCTGCCAAATACTACCTTATCAACAACCTACAGATTTGCTAGTATAGCTCTCTGATGTCCTTGTTTGCTTTTTGTTCTACTTTTGAGTGTACTATTTTGGTAGACATGATTGGAAGCTATCCTGGCCAAGGTAGTGGCTTGAATATGCCATGCATGACATTTTCTGCTTGTTCTCACTGGTTCACGCTCATTGATGTTGCATTCTGTTGGGTTAAGTTGTGTGGCTAACGAGTTGTGGTCTATTTATTCTTTCTTTGATATGCGCTATGATTTTGCCTTGAGTTGTGGTCTTTTTATTCTTTCTTTGACACTCTTGGGTGTATTTATGCCTTTTTCTTTTGCTGCAGGTGCTATGCCCGTTTGCATCCTCGTGCCGTCAACTGCAGGAAAAAGAAGTGTGGCCATAGCAACCAGGTATGTTCTTGGTCAATCTTGTGAAACGTTGTGTGTTACTGGACTCTATACTAAATGGTCCTTCTATTTCCTACTTTTATTGCAGTTGAGGCCAAAGAAGAAGATCACGTAAACAGGTGGTTGCATTTGCTGTCAAGACAGCTTTACAATTTGGCACTCTTTTGTTTTTTATTTGCTTGTTGACTTTGGTCTGTTCTTCGGCGTCTGTTTCACTATATACATAAGTTTTAAAATTTTACCCGCTTGCTTTACTTTTTAATCTATTTAACTGAGTTTGATCGACTGTAAAATAGTTGGTTGATTCAAGCCGTATGCTTTGAAGTACGTCATCAGTTGCTTCTTTTTCAGTTATAAGCAGCGGTATACATGAAACCACCCGTTTTGGCGCTCCTTATCTTAAGTTGATCATAGAGTTCCCTTCCTTGTCAAGTATGCATAGACTAACAACTGTCATTGGAGTTACGGGATTGCACAAACATGTTTATCTTTTCTCAGACCTCATGTAAAAGATGCTCGACTTTCCGAATGGCGATCACACTTGGGGAAGGGGGTACGTTGGCTTTTAGATGGCTTTGGATAGAAAGAGATCTAGAAGATGAATAGAGAAAAAAATACCGGGGAAGCTTTTATAAACCATCAACTCACTTGATGCTTTTAACCCCGAGAGAATCAGTTTAAAAAGGAAAAGAAAAAGACTCATTTTCACAGCTTTACGTAATCAGGAGCCAATTTTGACTAATATGAATTTGTGCAGCATGAAGCCCAAGAAAAGGGAAAACTTACCCACCATACTACTTGCTGGAACAACTTCATGCGAGTAAAAGGTATATGCAACTCTGTTCCGGTAGTGCTATATGTTAATGTTTGGCTTTTATTTCCTTGATTGCTTAGAGCTTCATTCACTGAACTTTAACTTCCATGCAACAGAGTGAAAGGCAATTTGAATACTGAGTATATCCAATTTATTTTATTGTGGTCACACGAAGAAGCCCAATTGACATAGTCTCTTTCTTTTGAAATAAATTACAAGCGATTCATTAACCCCCTCCCCCCCTCACCCAAAAAAAAAAGAAGAAGAAGAAAGAAGAAAGAAAGAAACATCAGTTGAACGTTTCAAAAAATAAGGCAAGTATATCCCTCGTTCATGCATCCCGAATCACATGCAAAGCCTTTGCTGTTCATGCTGCTAGTTCTCCTTGCAAATCAATTTTTGGCAAGCTCCTTTCGGATTCTCAGCACAATGGAAAAAAGCAACTGGGATAAAGTTCTTCCTTCTATTCTCTGCATACAACCTTGGCTCTATCAATGTGTAAAAGGAAAGAAAAAACTTTTTTATTGATCAAACTTCGGTCACTGCTGACTCCTTTGAAAAGCTTTATTGTATTTGTGGAGTTCAAAATTCCCATGACAGGTCGAAGGTACGACCTAGGCCTACGGCACACCAGCGTCCAGGTGATCCTAAGGAACTGTCACCTAATTCTTCCATGTTCCAAAACTCTGGTTCTTCCTTCCATCTGAAATGTTCGATTAATGTTCCTTCTCTGTCATTTTCCACTTCCTCTACTCTCTTGTCTTCTAAACTTGCATTTAAACAACCCGGGATAATATTGTCCTTCAACTCTAAGTCAGTACCTCCATTTTCAGAGCTTGTGTAGATTTCGCTGTCTAGAGAATCTTGGCTTCTGCTGCAACCAGCATGGTTGTTTTCCAGCTGATCATTTAGTTCCTCTAACTGTTTAAGATAAGTAAGGAACGACTTTGAGAAAACGCAAGAGAAAGAAATTACTCTCAATTTTCATTTTATATGATGTATTTGACTTCAACCCCTCCGGGTAGGGGTAAGGTTTGCGAACACTCTATCTCCCAGACCTTATGAGATTTTATTGAGTTGTTGTTGTAGTAGTATTTGACTTGACACGAACTTTAAAAAATAAAAAAATTTAGATACATACCAAAAGTACCGTTAGAGCTTGTGGTATTAAACATGATGTATCTATGGCAGGGCATATTATAAAAGGTAAAATGAGAAGTTTAAAGTTAAAAGAATATCTGCTATTCATGTTTAGACCAGAGAAAAAGAAAAGAAAATAGTGCACGATAAGATGGAACATAGGGAGCAATAACTAATAAGATACCTGCTTGAGCAAAGATTCCTTTTCTTGCTTCAATGATTCAAATTGCATATTTAGCCCGTCAAATTCCGCTTTCAGTACTCTGTATTCGTGCTCCATTTGCTTCGATTTCCATCTAGCCCTTCTGTTTTGAAACCAAATAGCTACTTGACGAGGTTGCAGCCCAAGATCTCTTGCCAGCTCAAGCTTCTTCCTTGGTTCAAGCTTTGTCTCTAGTTTAAACATGAACTCAAGCAACTTTACTTGTTCATCAGTAAATCTTTTACCATCTTTACTCTTCTTATTTGAAGGTTCAGTGTTCCCCTGAGTTAGAGTATCTTCTGCTTCCATTACTTTGTTGAGTTCCAATAACCTGAAAGATTTATTTTTTTTTGGTTTCAATTGCTTTATCTGACGTGATAAGAAGAGTATTAATTAATGAGCTACTTTATTGGAAACTTGCTAAGCAGGTGGCCTTCTATTAATATAAAGCCACCATGCAAGAAATATCTGGCTAGGTTATATTCAGGTGATTGGGACTTCTGGTTTGTTGGTTAATTTAGGCCAATCGTTTAAGATATCGTGTATCTTTTTCCACTCACTTTTGGACATCTCTATCTTTGATCTCTTTTTATCCTTCCAATTTGCGGCTACATTCCACTTCTTGGCGCATTTCTTTCTCTATGAAATAAATGTAGCAGGACTAGCACTTTCTGTAGAACAGTCAAAGATGAGTATGTACATTCTTAGTGATACAAGGTGAAATATTTCTTTCCATAATAAAGAATATGTCACGCCTCGAACCTGGGAGTGAGACCGTCACCCGGTGCCTCACTTAACCTAGCGTACCAATTTATGATTGAGGGACTCTGAACATATAATGTCATACTTTGGCCATAGAGTCACATTGCAAGACAATTTGCGAAGCAAAATATAAAACAGAACGGAAACTAGCTTTGACTAAACATCAATATAAAGTTGGGCCGACAAGACCGTCATAACTACTACAGCTGACAAACCAACAAAAGATACATACAAAGCCTACAAGTCCAACATGCTGCACTAACTGACACGATATGTCTACAAGCCTCTACTGATGGATGTACTGTGATCGGAACAGGGCCCCGACCTACCTATAACATATATACATATATACACAATATGTACACAAAACCCTAGATCCGGCAACTCCGAAGGACGTGAAGCTTACCGATCAAGCTGAACTCGGGCAACACCTACTGAGGAGGTCTACCCGTCTGTCTATCTGAACCTGCACGCATGAAATGCAGCGTCCCATTTGTCCACATCAAAAGGAAAGGAATCAGTCCGGCAGCAAGAGAGGAATTTCTCTAGAAGATAAGAAAACGCGAAGCGTTCTCTTGCTTTCCCAACCTGTTGTTTCTAAAGACTGCCCTCTCTCGGCTGGATCTTGGTCCAGCCTACTACGAGGATCCCGTATCCAGCAACCCAACCTATACAAAGGGCATCAAAGCCCCTTGACTNACAGGATTTCTCCCTGCCGCTCAAGCGGGATCAGATCGGGCTTTAGCGAGAACAGTTGTAATTGAATCGCTGCTTTCAGGGTATTTGGAAATAGATTTTTAAGTTAAAAAAGTCATATATTTTGATCTCCCCAGAAAAGGAACGTTGGTACGAAATAATGTACCGAGTATGTAAGACAATAAAATAACTTAAAGATGAAACTGAACTGATAATATAATAACTGAAAGTAACTAGGAGTCAAAGATGATCTAGAGATATANTAAAGTCTCGATAAGGGAGAATAGTGTAACTTATGAGACTAGGATAATGTACATAAGTTCAGGAATACGAATTTCTGTTTATGCCTCGTTATCAGACTCATGTAGTTACGGGATCATGCCAAAATGAGGAAAGGTTTAGCCTTAACATACTTATCACAATCTTTTCAATCACCAAGTTGAACTCGCCTCTTCGCACCTTAATCTACAACGATAATAATACTATTATTAAGATACGAAAGGTACAACTATCGCACAACGAACGACAAGCTTATTTTGTATTAAAACGGGCAGCATCTCCCCTATAATCCTTACTTCCTCCAAATTCAAGATAACACCAACAACACGAGAACACAACAATATCGACATATATACATTATATTCCAACCTTATATACACCACAAAATACTACAAAATAACCCAACACACCCCAATCTCTTCATACACAAAATGACCACCGTAGTAGTGTCAAACAGTCCGAAAATATTACAACGAACGACCAGCCCACCACCCTGCATTTATGTGGTGTTTCTCCACACCCTTCCTCCTCCAAAACTCCATAAAATAGTAGTAAAACATGCAATCCAACAACACAAAACAGTCCACAAAATAGTCCGCTACAAGTGACTCGAACTCACGGCTTCCTATCACCATCCCTTGAGTTCTTACACTTATAGAACGACTTTTCATACATCTCCAGCAGAAAAAATGGATAAAAGAGAGTAATAAACTTACCTTATTTGTTGAATAACTCAGCTCCTATCTTGGTTCTTCAAACTCTAGGTTTTACCTCCAACTAGAACTTGAAAAGGAGAGAAATTCAGTTAGGGTTTGTGTGTAATTTTTGGGAAGATGTTTGCAGGGGTTTAGGGCTGGTTATTGTTCCCTATTATAAGTGTATTATATGAACGAAATAGCCATTTAAAAGGTCTCTTTGGACGATCCGAACTGGCCCATTTTCGGACTCTTATTTAAGCAAGTAGGTGACACACTTACTTGTCATCTAGCAGCTTGCACAGTCTCGCAAAAATATATATATCTCTCTACTCCGATGCCGTATTGACAAACGGTTTAATGCGTTAGAACATAGACTCATAGATCTTCAATTTGATGAGTGGAACACTCCGTAACTCTAAGTATATTGGGAGAAAAGCGCAGTTACATTTAACCCAAATTTCAGTAAAACTTATGAACGTAACTTGTGATGACTTTCATCGATTTTTGTTTCACAACTTGCTTGACTTCAAAACATAACACACGACTATCATATGACTAATATAACTCATAACATAACCTCCTTATCATGTTAAACACCCTAGTCTCACTCCATAAGTACATGTTATAACATTCCTAACTTGTCGACTTTCGACGAAACATTATTTTCTTCAATTCCTTTAGCTTCTGAACCTTCCAACCCTCTTTGTACTTGTTGTTCATGATCTTCAATATTTGTAACATCCGAGGTAATATGATTAACTTACTTTATATACTTTTAAAGATAATCTTATTTTTTATCCTATATTAGTTTGTTTACTACGCACTTTTACGTACGAAACTATAGGGCGTAACAGAATAATTCGGTGCAATGACTTCTATTCACATTAAGTCCATTGTACACAACTTTTGCTTGAATGACTGGACCACATTAACTCGTACTAAGGAAAAAATTTTGTCATTATGTGGACAGTGTGATTTAGAAGAAAAACAATGATGTTTATGTTAATTTACCTGCACTTCGATTATATTATCTGCACTTATAACCTCCCATCAATATAAGTACCCGATATCTTCCATCACTTCAATTCTTGTCCTAACATGATTTTGTCTCTATTAAAAATTGAATTCTTATTATATTCTAGTATAATTTTTACTCGTTTTATTTACGGTGAGGTCACATTCTTGATTGGGCAAATAATGGTCGCCTAGTAGCGACAAAAGAGAGCGCTATGATTCTCTTAAATCATTAATAATCATGAGGAAGACCGAATTAATGTACAACTAGCAGCCAACTAGAGGACTTATCTTTGACTCAACACTCCTTTTCTTCTGATTGTAACACACCCACGTTAGCTAAACTTGAATGTTGAAATTCCTCAAAGTTGTCGTCTTTTAAGTTTAATTAACTTCACTTGTCGTTGAATAGTTCTACCGATGTAGTAACTCTATATATGTCCCGTCCTTTTTATATATGAAGTGTCGAGTACACTTGTCATATGATTTAAGGTATCTTTCATTTATTATTATTATTATTATTATTATTATCTCAATGTAGCCATCGAAGTCCAAAGTAGCATCAAAAGTAATCTTGAAAGTTTGTCATAAACTTGAGAAGTTCGGAAAAGGAAGAAGCAATAGCTATATGGTAACTAAACTTAGTGCTCTTTCTATTCAAGAAAAGGCTTTTGTAGATTTCCGCAATACTAAGGATCGCGTTAATCAAGTACCAGATTGCATTTTGTTTCCCACTCTCCGTATAACAAATGTCGAATTATGGTTGAAGTTGCACAACAGACATAAGGTTAGAGTTAGACGTACCGGGGTGTTGATAGTTGCCTTAATTTGCTCTATTATCTTCATTATTATTCCAAAAGGAAGGAAACCTTTCCCTCTTCTAAAGGAAACACAATGATGGAGAAAGTTCCAACTTGCCGACACTATTTTCATTCTTCATCCAAAGTTTTCCTGTAGTAAAAATCTTATGTAAGGATGGGGTGGGAGAGGGAAAGCAGAGGTGAATTCAGAATTTAAAATCTATAGGGTTAATCTTTAAGATTTTTAGTATTGAACTCTTATATTTTTAAAGTTATGGATTTATATTATATTGCGATTTCAAAAAGGTTTTTGCACATAAATTTATTTTCCGTCGAAAGTGGCTACATCTGTCCCTGAGGGATGTGGTCCGTTTTTTGCTATAGGTGAATTCAAAATTTTAAATTATTGAATTTAGAATGAATATGGTCTTATGTCATCTTATTAATTTTTTATTTTTCTTATATTTCGTTAAATTCACAGAACTTGTCTTAAATCCGCGTATATTCTTGAGACTTTCGAAGTCTTTCAAAGTTTTGGTAAAAAGATGTTACTTCTGTACCATCCTATTCATTAAGCTCGGGGTCTGTCAAGTGTCAATATAGTGTACAAGAATGTAATAATTAATGAGAGTGTTATAAATATATTATAATATGGATGTTTATTTAGTATTCCGTTGTAAATAAACTTCCCGAAGAAACTTATCCATATGAGATTCCGCCGTAAATATGTTTATCTATTTAGTACTCTATTGGAAATAAGCCTCCTGAAGAAGTTTATCCTTTCGGTACTCCGTTATGGATAAACATCACCCTCGGTAGAAGATTATCTATATCTGGTACAATGAGCTTATCCTTTCGGTACTCCGTTATGGATAAACATCACTCATGATAGAAGATTATCTATATCTGGTACAGTAGCAGCTTACAGAAGCAGCTTACACAACAACTTCCTTTTTTCTATAAATAGAGGAGATTTCAGTTCATTATGTACATAAATTTGAAATTTGAATAATATATCAGTTTCTCTCTATACTAGTCTTTACTTTACAGTCTTTATTTTATAACACGTTATCAGCACGAGACTCTGCCATCTCGAGCAAATACTTTGAAAGTATTAGAGGTACGAACTTTCTTTTTCTAAATAATGTCAAATCTTTCTAA